CTACGAGCGTTTGTGTAGAGGCATTTTAGGCCTCCTGTACAGGAGCAGTCTATTTACCTCAAAGGTGCCTGATAGCAAGCGGGATGTTGAATTATGCTTCTTTTTGCTAAGCTGTTTCATATTGTACAGGAGGACTGGTGATGTAACAGTTCTCTTGTGTTAAGGCAGCTCTGTTGTGGTGCAGCTGCTCTACAAGTATGCAAATTTGGCTCAGACAAAAGGCTGGAGCAGGGGTGTTTGCATCCAGGTCTCAGGGTGTTGAATTTTGCTTCTTTTTTTGGTAAAATTATGAGGTTTTCATTTCAAAATGGCTAACTACGATATCTTACATGTTTCAGTCATAGAGGCTGTAGCCATGTTTGTCTAAAAGCAAAAGCAGTCAGAAATCCTGTGGTAAATGTAATATCATTTTACTTAGAAATTTAAGTGAAGTTTTCTACTCTCTGACATGTGGTTTTATGCCAACTTAACTATATCAGATCAATTTAGTTAAAAACTAGTAGAATTCTTATACCTGTGGAGAAGGCCAATAATTCCAGTGCTACAAATGTTTAAGTACGTGAACAACTTTATTCCTAAAACTAGTCCCATTAAGATGTTGTTATAAAAAGACAGAAATGTACTCAATATTTCAGTAAGTGAAATGAAGTGGGGTATAGTACAACAGAAGTCCCATAAGACCAATCAGAAGAGTAACATTACTTGCATTCTTCAGTTTGCAGGATGGGATCCTAAAGTCAGTCTCAGCATTGTAAGAAATGTGGATTAATGGCTATGAATCCTGAGTTCTGTTAACAGCTCTTCTGGCACTCAGAGGAACTCTGAGAATGTAAGATAACTTCTTGGATAAGCTTTCAAATAATATAGACTATAGTTAATCTATGGTAAACACTGATGTTGTGCTGCACGTGACCTTTGTTTGCATAAAGACAGCCCTATCTTCATAGTTTTATATTTCTTATCCATAAGATTTGTTATAATGACTTGACTCAGCAGGTTGTCAGACTTCTATGTACAATGCATATAACTTTCAGTATGCAACTATATGGGAGCAGGGAAACAGTATAAGTACCATTAAGTAGCTTGAATTTACTAGACCTGTGAAATACTTTGTAGGACTGGAAGTCCAGTTAACTCAACAGTATTTGTCAAAAAGTAATCTGCCTGAAACTAATTAGACTACGTGTGTGCCTTGAGGCTGATTTACTGAGCATATTATTATTTGTACTGCAATATTACCCAGCAGCCCCCATCACTAATAGTTTATTAGGTGCCATAAAAACATTTTTTGTACCTGAGTGTAACAGACAGCCAACATCTCCTGTTACTTTAAGCATAGAGCAGCACTGGTGAGAGCTTCTGGCAGGGAAAGCTGTTCATTATGAGCTGCCAGAGAACATGTTCTTCAGCAGCTACCTGATGCAAGCACTTACCACAGAACTGGTTGTGCCACAGTAGCACTGTAGGCTAGAGCCGTGCATGGTCACAGAGACAATATATGAACACAGAAGAGACCAAAAGCAGTAAGTCACCCTAAGGCTCAGGCTGAGCCAGCAAGCTGAATCAGGAAACACCAGCAGCAGGTCAGGGAGGCATCTGACCTGCAAAGGGAAGGATAGCGGTATATAAACATAGACAGGGGTGGGCAATTATTTTGGCTGGAGGGCTACTTAATTAGGTTTGGTGAGCTTTCGAGGGTCACATGGGTAGCTCTGCTCCTTGACATTTGCCCTGGTCACCATCTTGGGACCGGAAGTCCCTCCCCTTGCCCCCTGGAAATACTCTTTGAGGGGGAGGGGGTTGCCATATACTAAAAGACAAACACCTACAATAACATATTTTAATTTTATTACAAAAACTATTATTGTCATGATTTATGTTCATGTAGTGTATAAAGAGGTGATAACTCAAATATAATAATAACTAAAAAAATAATTCTTAGTCTTGTGTATTGTGTTGGGGGTGGGGTGTGTATGTATGGTGGGGTAGGGATGTGTGTATGTGTGGTGGAGTGTGGGGGTGGGTATGTATGGTGGGGGTGTGTGGGAGTGAATGGTGAGCTGGGGGTGTGCGTGAGGCTATGTATGGTGGGGTGTGTATATATGTGGGGAGGCTGTTGAGGCAGGGTATGGGTGTGTGGCAATTGTGGGGTGTGAAGGAGGAGGGGTGTTGGGACACCCCATACTTACCCCATGCTATGCAGTCCCCACAGGCAGCAGCAGCAGCAGGTGAAGGTGCTTAGCATGCTCATGCCCAGCATAGGCACTGGTGCCAGCACTGCACATTGCGGCAAAGACTGCAGTCCTGCCAGGCTGCCTCTATGCTGGTACTTCCTGCCGTGCATACGCAGCCCTCACACTCGCACAGCACCTGTGGGATGCTCCATGCACTGGAGCCAGCTGCCTGTACTGCTTCCTGCTGCACAGGTCCTGGGACTCACAAGGAAGCAGGGGCCAGGAGTCCTCTTCACTTACAGTGGAGTCCCAGAACCTGCATGGCAGAGGGTGGAGAAGGTGGCTGGCTCCAACATGTGGAGCTTCCCTCCAGTGCTGCATGAGCATGGAGGCTGCACATGCATGGTGGGGAGTGCCAGCAATAGAGGCAGTCTCAGTGAGGGTCGCAGCCCAGCCAGAGATGCAGTAGTGGCAAGAGCCACGCACCACCAGGCACCAGTGTCTGTGTTGGGCACAAGTGCCCTGAGCGCCCCTAACTGCCAGGGCTACACATAATAGGTGGAGTTTACGGGCAGTTCCTACCCCACCCCCACACTCCCTCACCCTGCCCAGCCGAGCTTCATGCTTCTGCCACCCTCCTGGCTCCATCCTGCGGCCAGCCCCAGTCCTACACTTCGGGCTTTTGCCCAGCTGCAGCTCCACCCCCAGTCCCAGCCCTGCCACTTCCCTATATGCTGCCTGGAGCGAGCCTTGACGCAGGGCACACCATAGGATTAGGCCACAGGGGGAGTTATAAGCCCAGAGAGAAGGGGGAAAGACTGAAGCCTAGCTTTGGCAAGAGTTGTGCAAGGGACATGGGGCCTAGTGCCCAGGAAGGGCAGAGCCAGGGCAAGGGAGTCCTGTGCCCAAAAAGGACAGAGAGGCCCAGGGGGAACCAGGACGCCCAGGAACCTAAGGAGGCTCAGCAAGTGTATTGTCCAGGACGGGGCAAAGACAAAGCCAGATTAGGCAGTCAAAGGCTGGAACCCAGAAGGCAGTCAGGCACATTGGGCCTTGGCTAAGGGACTCAGCAAGAGAAAAGGGGTTAAAGTTGGGAAGGCTGAGACCCTACAAGGGTATAGAGGGCCAAGGTGGCCTGCTACTGGGTTGGGACCAAATGCTCACCAAAGTAAATAACTGGTAACACCTGCGAGTCATGGGCATGGCTGTAGGGGAGGTCAGAGGCCATGATTATTTCTTAAGGCTAACAGGTGGCCTGGGAGAAATAGTGGGCATCTAGAGGAACTGGGACCCATAAGGCAGCCTCCTAGGACCCATTAAGTATCTTCCCTTCAACAATTATATCAAGGCATAGCAGGTGAGCCGGAACGGGGGGGGCACCCTACAGCTGGAGCAAGGTAAAGGTTGTGTGGCTACCAAGGGGCATCACAGTCACCCTAGAGCCTGAATGTGGTCAGTCTGAAACTTAGATATACTTGAAGGTCAAGGATCTTAAACTGAGAGAGGAAAAAACATTAGCAATGTTTAAATCAGTTTTAAAAGCAATTGAAGGGCAGTTCACTTCAGCTCTTGAGAGAGGGTTGTTACCTCTTCAAAGGAAAAGAAATAGACTCCAAAATCCCAAGCAGAGAAGCAGTTCACTCTTCTTAAAACAGCATTCACTACTGACTGGATATCAGCAGTGGGAATCCATGACATAGCTTTAGTCTATGAAGCATAGGTAAGAATGGGGCACGTTCAGGGTTGTTGTTATCTATGCCATTTGTAGATTAAAGGCAATGAACATATGGTCACATCTCATGTTGCTGTGTAGAACTCCTCTAAGATGGTAGCATGTTTTTCTTATGTGTTTGTGCAGGGTCTAGTGCAGTCTGGCCTTGATCCATGACTGTGCCCTTTAGGTGCTGCTACAATATTGCTCCTAAGACACTGTGGTAATTCTGCTTCTATGTACTCTTCCCACGTTTAGCAGATCCTTTATACCTGCACTACTTCTGAAGACATAAGCAAATTACCTCTAGAGCTTGATTCTATGTTCACATACCCAAGTGAACACCAGCAGTAATGCCATCTCAGCCAACAATTGTACCAGTGTGTAAAGATGCCAGATAAACTGTCTTAAAAGAACCTATATACAGAAACTTGCATGATTTGTTTCTCTCTTTGAATTTTGATTCAAAGTGAGTGAAAACTTATGGCCATGTCAGACACATTATGGTGCAGAAGTGGATGCTGCTTATTCAGCAAAATGACAGCCTCTACCCTACAACCCTACAGGCTAAAATGTCTTGTATCTTTGACCTGGTAGTTTCGAACTTGACTCTTTTGTATTAATTCATATTTAATATGCATTCTTATATCACTTACAGAAGCAGAATTACAAAACTGACAATATAGCCTATTGTGCCATCTTTTTCCAGCAGAACTCTCCCAAAAAACCCTATGATATGCCAACTTCAATGGAAAGTGCAATATGATGGCAAGACATTGTTGTCAATTAAGTTATGAAGGTTATTTTGTAACCATTATTTGTATATTCCATTTCAGCTTTTGATACATTTTATAAATGCCTCATATGGTCAAATCCAGTATTTTCACTTCCAAGATATTTCTTGTTGGGGGAAGGATGAATCTCGAAGAGTCGCCTCAAATATGGTTAACTTAAAACTTTAGGTAGAGTCATGAAAGGCCTTTCCATAATGAATGTCAGAGAGCTCTTTTGAGCAACTTGTTAAGAACTGGCAATTAAATCAACAATTTTAAAGCTTTAATTATGAAGTAGAGCTGCAAAGCTTGGATCCAGGTCAACTTTTTCAGTTTGAGGCATCTGAGCACATTTAATGAGGTTGTCCAAGTTCTGCCTGTTGTGTAATAACACTTGAAACCGTTTATACTATAAACAAAGTGCCCAAGCATTAGTTGATAATTAAGTGTGTCATTCTATACTAATAAGAGCTTTTCTGAACAGTTGCATAACTCATCTGGCTTCCTACTCAAGAGAACATAAGAAACAGATATGCTAGAAAGAGTGTACAGCAATTGCATTTGTCCCTCAACACTATTTTTAAATCTCTGCCAGATTAAAACCTCAGAATTTTCTTCAACTCAAGGCATGTATAGTCTGAACACTGGTACACTCTAAGGGTTATATTTAGATTTCTTTCTCAAATTATTTTAGGACTGCTACCCATTCTTTTCATAGGTACTGCCATATCAGATCACACTTGAGGTACCTCTAGTTCAGTATTCTAACAATGCTTAGTAAGCATCGGCAGATCAAATATTTTGAAAAGGGGGGATGTGGGAGTAGTGATCAGCACTGCAAGGGTGACTATATCATTCCTGCTCCTAGCATCTCCCCCTCCCCCCCGCCAAACTTGGGCAGGCAGACTGTGCTGCTGCAGCAGCAGCAGTTGGGAACTGTTTAAAGTCCTTGAATCAGTTAAGAAACTACCTACCCTGGCTTTAGGCACCTACTCCCTTCCCTTCCATGCTCAGTGGTATCTCCCTTCCATTCTCTCCCTCTCCCACTACTTATGCCTCAGGGCACAAGGAAAGACCCACCCGAAACACCATCCTCCTTGATCCGCTCCAGCCAGGACTGTAGAGACTAGCTGCATGGGGAAACAGGTTTGTCTAGGAACAGCCATGGCAGCAGATGGGTTACCTTCTCACTTTGAAGCTGGCTATCTGCTTATTCTTGCACTTTGAGTAAGAGAGAAGAGAAGCTCTTAATCTACATTCAGCTTTTGATTTTGATTTTATACACAGGCATCTCCTTTCTATTTGTCTCATTTCTAAGTCCATGGGCAACTGGTGCCTCCGGAGTCTGGGGGGGCACCCGATTGCTGGGGGGGAGGGGGGGTTCCCCTGGCGGCTGATCGCTGGGCGGGGGAAGCAGGAGTCCCCTGGCAGCTGATCACCGAACTTGGAAACACTGCTGGCAAAACCAGAAGTAGTGCTGGGGGACCTCAGAAGCTGCTGGTGCCATTGGCAGCGGGGACAGCCCTGTCAGGCCCCCCATGGCCCTGTTGCACCCTCACTACATGTCACCTATGTCTAAGTCAAATAGCCCTAACTTACCAATAGTTCAGAAGTTATACTGGCTATTTGAGCACCAGAGAGTGATTTCATTAGGCCCAACTGAATACATCTATCTTAGATAAATATTCTTTATCTTGTTATTTCCCTACTCTGGCTTGCACTCCTATTTCCTTGTAAAAATTAATTAAGTGTCTGGTTATAGCAACAGACCTACTCAAATGGAAATCATGAAATTGGCGATTTCCATGAAATCTGCTGGGAGGAAGATGGGGGACAGACTAAAAATAACACTGGCTCCCCAGTGGGAGCCAGCAGTCCTCATGGCTGCTGTGGTCTGGCTGCGCAGCTGTTGTGGGGGCAGGGTACAGGCAAGGTGGCTGCTG